GCACGTTTTATCGAAAGGAAGATCGCAAAAGAGGTACGCGCACGTTCTAAAGCGGAATAATATTTTTACGGGCACGGCCAGGAGAAGTCCTGTCCAAATATTTAGACTCGCTTCGCGGCCAGATAATTCGGAGGAGTCTTTTGTCGAGCGAGACGATGGTGAACTCGGGAGGATTTTTCTACCTCACGCCTCCGTCTCTTAGAACAAAGGATATTTTATTTGGCGCGCCGGGGCTCTAACTTTTACCGCCGACGAAACTTCCGAAATGGGAGATGACGCCGGACGTGAATGCATTCTTCGCGGTGCGCTGTGACGTTTTTATGCAAGACGCGTGATAGTGTATGAACGTTGTAGAGGCACTTATGACGTAATACATGCAAATATATCGAATTGTTGCGCAACGCTCGACGTAATCGCGATTAATTGAGAGAGACCTAACGAGGAAGTTAATTCGAGGGCGAGTTAATTCGCGATTTCCATTAGCCGCCGGCTATTGAAGCGGAGCAGATTTACGGTCCCTCCTTGCGGCGTCCTCTATTTTTCTTCCATTAGACGCTACCCACCGTTGAATGTTTTCACTACTATTTGCGCCGGCGGATGTTCCCGGCTTTTATCAGCGTATATTTTTCAAAATCGTATGTGGCTAGCGTCATCTCGGATATATGTATATATAGAGATAGATGCGAATCATATACGATTTTGTGAATATACATATATATAGAGAGAAGAGAGAAAAAATAATCTACTCTGAAAAAATATCCTGTGTCATTAATATCAGGAACGAACGAATCTCCCGGGGAGCCGGAAGGCGAATTCATTTGGAGGGCCCGTGGCAAAAGTTGTGCGGCTCGATCGGGTACGCGAACGAAATTAGATTTGAAACTGTATTACTCGTCGATGGGCGAATTCCGGTGAAGTTTCCATCTCTCAATATATAATAGCGCTCCGCGCGCGGCATCTGCGCGAGCGAAAAATTCCGGAAAATCACATGACTCCTCCTGGCAAATGCGAGCGACAAAGGGAGCAATTTGCGAAAGGTCACGCATAAATAAATCTTTTCGAAGCCACCGTCGATTGTGGATAATTCGCAAAGGGGGAGAAGAATTTATTCGGAAACGGGTTCGGGGGCGGGAGGAAAACGCTCAACGCTCCCATGGTCCATGTTTATTTGCAAACGAGAGTTTAAAATTGTGTTTTCTGTGGCGGAGTAAATGGGCGAGGTTAACGGCTACCCGAAATTTAATTCACGGGATCGCCGTATCACCGGACGGGATACGCGTTCGATTTCGTATATCGTCGCGCATTTGCATCGGCGTGTAGCGATAATTGGGCAGGGGCGCGCGGGGCACGAGCGCGGGTTCAAATAAATTAAAGCGGCTTCCTGCGCCGGTTCATTCCGTGCACCGGCTATAACGTGGACCGCCATTAAAATAATGTGCCAATCAATCGCGGACCGCGTTCGATCCGATCGATTTGTCATGGGCTTTCGGAAAATTCTCGCCAGTGCAGCCGTGCACGCCGCGCTCGGCGCGCTCCTCTGCCTCCGCGTGACGCTGATATACGCGGCAAAACATGAAAATCGTTTTAGGAAACGTCACGGGATCATATTTGTCCTAGTATCGAAATGCACGCCTGACATTGCCGAACATATTCTATCCGCACAAAAATCTCATGTTTTCCTGAAATAAACATCGGAACTGCGGAATTAAATTTAACGCCAAATGCACCTTGAAATTTTGACGATTCCGAAATAGCAGTAATTTAAAGTCACCCAAATTGAATATTTTGTAATCAAAGATCGTGAAAGTTAATGATTTCATTAAGACGCGACAGCTCTGAATCGATTTCTTTTCGACATTGCAATTTCAATGGAATCCCGAGAGTATTGCATATATCTGATTTTCCGACATTCTGAAGAAAAAAGAAAAGTTAGTAGGAAGTGGGTACTTCGTGACTTTTGTACCATTCCTCAAACAAATTGAAACTCAGCCATTGTGATGGTTCGATGTAAAATATATACTTAAAAATCCAGAATAAAAGAATATTCAGCGATTATTTTACGCCAGTTTATACAAGAATCTTCCTCGCTGTATGTCCCGTACATAGAGCTCCCCTTAAACTTATGTTTAAGATACATCCTGTATTTATCGTCGAACGGGGGTAGAAACGGTAATGCACGGGTAACAGGATGAAGAATACAGCCCAAGCTGCGGGCGATGGAAGCTACAATATTGGACGTTGCTTTTTAGCGTAAGCGGCGCTGCGTTCATAAATTCCCCCGGGGAGATCATAAGATTCGCGAGAATGGGTGAAAGCGCGAAAAGAAGGTGAATAATACTAAATGTGACGCGCATAAGTGCTTTAGCACCGACCAAGAGAAAGAGAAAAACGTCCTTTACTAAAAACAGCTGTGTACAAGTTTAACTAATTGTACGTCAATGAAAAGCGAGAGAGAGAGAACTCGCATATCGGGAAGTTCTCTTCGGATGCGCATCAGCGATGCGGAAAGTTGTTACACTTTTACGTATATGCCGATATCAATAAAACTCGCCGACTGAAAAATTTTGAATGAATCAATTTTGCAGCAACGGTACTGCAACGGTATGCAGCTCTGTGTCATCCTGTGCGAAATGCAGGAACGAAGCGAGGGAACGAAACAAGGGAAAATCGAAATCAAATTTGAGTAAGGATTTACTCTCTTTTTGTTTGTACGAACAAGTTCGCGACGCGAAAAAAGAATTCGGCTCCTTACGTGACGTCAGTGCATTTTGTGAGAAGAATAGAAGAAAAGAAGAAACAAATGTTGTTTGAGAAAAGCTTTCGCGTAGTCTTACAATTGAGAATCCGAATGTCATTCCGTATTAAGGGAGTGTATATAGAAGAATAGAAAAATAGAAAAGTAAGAGAGTTTCTTCAAGAATTTACTTTCTCAGAAACTATTTACGGAATGTAATCAAACTTCTTTTTTATTTAAAGTATATACTTTTATGTAGTTATAGTAACTTCTACATCATTTTAATTTGTTGTAAACGTTAATTTGTCTTTACACACAGAGCGTGATGCTCTTTCATAATTTTAGTTTTCTTTTCTCGAGTCAGCGCGCAGTGGAATTCGAGTTCTGACAAATGACCAGTTCAGTCTGTGATTACCAGTTTTCGGAATTCTCTCCTGTCGGTGAGGACAGGGTCTCATCGAGCGAACCTAGCTCAACATCTGTACTTGCGACCTTGTAATTTTAAGCGCCGAAAGTAGCGCTTTCTTGAGATCGGATCGACAATCGCCGAGGGTGAGACTGGTGAGAGAGAGCGCGCATCGTGAAAGTGCAACCTAGGAAAACGTAGCGTTGTGTGATTTACACGGAGGGAGGGCCCCGCCTCGTTTTAGTACCGTAAACGTGATCTGTAGACTCTTTGTTCTTAACGCGAACAAAAATACAGCGAGTACATCTGTATTCTCTTCCGTCTGCTCTGTGCGACGGAGAGTGGAACCAACCCGTTCCGCCCTCTTCGAAATTCTTTGGCAAATAAATGGGTACCTATTCAAAGGTCAGTCGTAAATTTCAGTCAACCCGTAAATTCCAGCTAGTTGAATTTAATTAACACTTTCTAATTTCAACATATTCCCAACGCTTTACTTTGCGAGATAAAGATAGTTCTTAAAAATGATGCTGTTTACTATGACAGCGCAGGAAATATGTATGTATGTGTAAGAAATTTAAAAGAGCTGTACTATTACTGGAGAGCTACTTCACAAATCTGTAAAGAGTTAAAAGTAACGGACAAACCACGAAGCTATAAAGTACAGACTCATGTTTCTTCTGAAACAGCACGTTTGCCGTAATCCATTTTTATGGGGTTTTATGCGAAGAAAATGCCTTCGCATTGCCTGGTTGAAAATTGCAATCTTGCACATAAATCACAGCTCACATTACTAATAATCTGTCTGTTATATAATATCTACTATCTTACATTTTTATAGAAAGTATAATTACTTCTTGCATTAATTATTCGCAAGTACTATTTCAACACTCGTTATTACTTTATTATTTCTAAAAATTTAATTTATACGTCCAATTTTCGTATAAAATGTTAAAGATATGCTACATAAATTTTAAATAATATATCTAATTACTTATTAAATACTTTATTAATTACTTATTAAATGATTACGGACGAACACACATATACGTATCACGTTTATATAATGTGCAAATATTGTAACGTGGGTATATATTAAATCTTATTTTTTTTATTTTTAACAGAGCAAGCTGGTTAATTTATAATCGATATTTGTTTTCTAAATCGCCCAAGAATCTTTCTTGGCGAAAATATAGCTCTATACATTAAAGCAATCGTCACGATTCAACACTCGACTTGTCAGCTCAATTATTAGTATTTAAAGAGATAAAAATAATATATAAAACTAGCTTCAGCTAAGATAAGAGAGATAACAGTGATTTACTTTTCTAATTTATGAATTTTACATTAACATTTATCAGTAATATAAAAATTTATTTAATTAAATAATAAATTAAAAACAGATATAATAATTTAGATAAAAAATGAGAATAATATTATGTGATAATTACACATAGAATAGAGACAATCAAAAAATTGAAAAAACGAAATAGCTGTTAACTCGTAATGAATAAACAGAATGACATTAATTAAATAGCATACTGTCATTCAATCAGCTAAATTGTTGGTCCTTTTATAATATTTAGTTTAACAAGTTCATAAATGTATATTCTTTTTGCACTATGTGCTAATAAAAATGACGGGCGTTTCTTCCGCAGACAATTGATATGTATTATACAACGCGTTATACGTTGTATAATGCAATTACGCGTATGCGCAAGAAAATATATAGTACGGTAAGCACCGCGGTGGGGAAACACATTTCCATCCGAGAACTCAATTGCGATGTAGGTAAGGACACCGCGTAATATTTTCCCTGTCGTTTGCAGCGGAAATGCAGCGTAACAAGCAAATATGACTTACCTTGCCACGTTTGGTGTACTTGAGATACTGGTAGTGATGATTATCGTAATTGAAGTCGCGGGGCGTGAGGGTGATCTCGTGGTTACGGCCCATCTTGCCCATGAGCATCTTCTTCCTCTGCATCTGCGTCTTCTTCGAGTACGTTCGCAGATCGGCGACTGCAAAATTTCACCTCTGATTAATGTACTCTTCTCGCGGCACACGCTGATTGCAAGTCGCGGCGGAATTACATTTCGTCCCGGCGACGCAACGCGTCGAAAATACTTGGTTCGTTAGCCCCCGAATCAACTCGAGCGTGACTGCCGACAAATTGCATGTCAGAAATCGAAAAGCCGACTGCGCTTTTAAACGGCAGGGCACTTTCCGCCCATCCGACGACGGGCGGGAGTGATTTTTCCGCGCGACGTGCGCGCCGAAGTCCCCGGGCTTGTCGTCGAACGAGACGCGGGAGAAGAGACGCTGGGCTCCAAGTGGTGAACGTCAATAATTTCTCCGCCAGAAAAACAGGAAAATTTTTACGGCGCGGGTGCTTAAGGTAGGATCTGATTTAAAAGCAGGACGAAACGGCAAAAAAATACAAGGATACGACTGGAATTAACGGCATCAAAAGAAGATCCTAATACGTCACGTGCAAAAAATGTATTCGTCTCAAAGCATTGTTGTGCCCCGTTTTTCACACTTGGCACTTAGGTTACCGTTTTCATTTTAAGCTTTCAATCATTTCTTGTCCTTGCAAGACAGACCGTCGAAATTATGCATCATATTCGCCAGATATTTAATTCAACCGAGAACTTCACGAAAGATTGATCCCTGCATAAACATTTTATCTCAACAGCGGCACATCATTTTTCATCAAGCTTACCGGATCTCCGACAGTGGATCATCCGACCGCGAACATGATAGTCCTAACGGCATCGCACCTGATAATCGATATTCCGCACGTAGGTATGTTGCAAGCCGTTCGATCGTGAAAACGATAACATTTTATTGTCCCATATTAATGTTTAAAACATGAAAACATGAAAACAGCGGGGCGCACGTGCGCGACGTTACGGAATGGCTGATAAAAATGCAACCGCCATTTGAAATCAATCGTATTTACGAATCAATCGCCACTCATTAACCGTGCGGCCAAACAAGCCTTTCGAAATTAGCACGTGCACTTCATTCGCGATCGACGATCGTTATGATTTTTCCCGGGCGAAACACGGGCGATCGCGGCATCGATGTGCAACTTCATAAAATTCAATTACCACTCATATACCGACGAGCCGGTAAATTTAGATGATTGGAGCTTCGCTCGTTGATATTCATTAATATCAACGAGCGTTGAGTAAAATTTATTCCAGGTCCTTTTTTCTCTTCGCCATACATTAGCGTCGCGCAGGCCAGAGATTGCTGTCTGCGTAGCTTTAAATCTTCCGCGAAACAAATTTTCTACGAAATAAGTACTCCGTTCCAGTTTATATCACGTTGAAACATTTACGTTAAAATATATTTAGCATTTTCCAAAATGTGTAATTTAAATTTTAAAGATAGATCTTTTCATTTGCATTATTCATCAGTATTTTCGTTCTTAATATTTGATTGTAAATCTTATATAATGACATCGCGTTTTCATATTTGATTCATGAGATAACATCAAAAGTGCTAAAATACATGTCAATCATGAATACATTTATTCCTTCAATATATCTACTTTTGAAACTTTACGCCACATTTGCCAGGTTCTATTTTATGCATGAATATTGCAGAACTTCTCGACTTAAATTTTCGATGAAGAACATTACTGAAATTTTCTTGGAAATATATATGTATATGTATATATACACTTACGTTTTTGTTATTAATATCCCCGTTCGTTTCTATATCTTGAATATGATGCAAGAATGTGTGTATACGTTAAGAGCAAATAACAAATTGCCGATTCGCAAATTCAATCGGTCCTGAATCTTGCCTGTTCCCCCGATTCGACGACAATTCACGATTCGCTCAACGTTTACCGAGGTACATCGCGTTGTATGCCCAATAGTGGCACTATTGTTCTAACCGCCAATTATGAATATTCATGGAAGGTCCACGTGTCGTAAAGGCGCAGAGCGCGATGCAAAGCGCGGCCCCACACCATTGTGAAACTTACAATACATACGTATATGTATATCTCAGCATGAATATGCTTACAAATTGATCTTGCGCATTGAATCTCGCAGACTCGCTTTTTACAAGTCGTCACTGACTTGGGCTCTCACTTCTATTGTGATTAACCATTCAGTCAAATTCTCCGTATGTTGTCGTAAAACTCGTCACAATGATAAACTTTCTGTAATTCGCTTTTGCAATCTAATCGTCTTATCTACGTGCGATTATGTTCAAATGTTAATTTTATTTTCTGTGGAATAGCACAAAGATGTTTTATTGTTTTACGTTACATTTAGATGTAATTAATTGTAAAACATCGATTAGAGATGTACCAATTATTAGATTCCCTAATTAGATATATAACAAAGGAATTATTTAGATTCACGGTTGAGCTAAATTAATGATTATTTTAATAAATTGGCGCAATCTCTGCATTCGAATGTAATTATAATTATTAATACTAAATTCTCTTGACTGGAGATAATGTCGCGATCGAGTTTATTTACTTAATGTTGTTTTGAAAGAGAACTCTAGTAAGCATGTGAAGAGAATTTAAAAACAAATTAAAATTTCATAATATATTTCATAATGAATAGTCGAGTGAATAGCTCGTTTTCCCTTGTCTTCTTTATTATATTCTACGTATTAACATTTTTTAAATTGCGTAATGGACAAATACAGTTTAAGCATACATTTTCATTACATTGTATTTTCCACGGAAGTTTTATATTTTAATCAATTTTTTTACGACTGACATCGTACAAATATGGTTTGGTTATGGTTCGTAGAAAAGATAATTGAAAAATACATTGAAGTTTTTCGACCAAACATAATCCTATAAAACTCTTTCTCTCTCTTCCCTCTCTCTTTCTCTTCCCTCCCTCTCTACAAAAAAAGTGAAAATACACGAAGTGTAAAAACCGACAATTAATTCGTGTGATAAAAATAACATTTCTTCTTTTTTATCAGCAAAAAATGTCTTTGAACAAAGATTTTATTCGAAATTAAAAAAGATTATCATTTAGCTATAAAATAATTATTAATATGTATCAAAAAAAGAATAGAAGTAAGAATTGAATAATGTATTAAAGAAACAAAAAGAAAAGGCAATAAAAAAAGGAGATTGAATCGCTTAAATGTTTGTAGCCAAAGAAGAATAACCATATCAATAGTACGTGCATTTTTCAGATTATTTGAAGTTCACTAGAGTTCTCCCTCGCCTTTAAATCGCCGAGATTAAATCAACGTTTCGGCTTAAGCTCGACTCGCGCATAGACAAACATATATATATATCTTACCTTTGCACGGACAAAAACCTTTGCAGGAGATGTGGACGGAAGTATGGTGAATGCAATTGTGGTACTCGAGACGGCACGGCGAGCTGTACGTGCGATTGTCGCTTCCGCAGAGGAATGTAGGCTTCACCACGGGACATTCTTGGCACCTGTAACATAGGAAAAACACCAACGGATGGCTTTAAACTCGGACTCGGCTGTCGACAGACGCGTGTGTTCCTAAAGAGACCGGTTCGGCAAGTGAGAGACAAAGGACGAACTGCCGCGCCGGCCGGGCGCTCGCTCGCGAGAGAATATCGAAATTCGATGCTCTCTCGCGCGCCGTGCACCGTGCGCGCCGCTTGTGAATTTTGTTAAACGACGTGTCACTGGATATCGAGAACGGGCGAGGACGAGATGACGTAGGCTCTGTACTCGCCCTGTATACCTATAGTCCTGATATGAAGCTCATAAAATCTCTCGTAAAAATTTATGAACCCTCGTGGGAGACGATGCACTACGCCACTACGCAAACGCTTTATGCTGGGCTTTGCAGCTTTGTGGGCCGTTCTGGCCGAAGCTATCTCTCGACGACATGTCGTCGTTACAAATTGTCGGTTGTTTGTTTGCGAATGAAGGTTCGCTGTTCGGAGATAGCGAAGGGGTAGACGGAATTAATTATGTCGTGATTAACGTACGATGAAAGTCCAAGAACGTACAGTCGCGCATCGCGCAGTTCAGCGGAAAATAAAGATCAAAGGCATCGCTTTGCGCAGGAGAATACTAATCGGAATACTAGGACGGCGCTCTTGAAAGTCGCGACGAGAGGCTGGAAAAGTCTCTGGGTTTGCTCGCTCCTTCGGCGCGAAGCTGAATAATGAAAAGCCGAGGATGTGCCAAGGGGAGTCAATTACAGATATGGCTGGGTTTAATCTCCAGAATTGCTTGCCTGCTGCCGCCTAAGCGCGCCATTGTACATATTATTCCCGGCGTGCTCCCGCTTCGACTGACGTTTCACGGCTGCGTGCGCCCGCGTCTTGCCTTTTGTTCCCCGTTAATTCCGCGCGATACTGCGAGAGAATCTTCCGATTCCCTCACAAAAATCTCATTGATGAGGTAAATCTACGAATTTCCATCAAGAGAAAACGGAACGTTTCACCTGAAGGGTCCTGGAAATAGGGAGAGAATATAATACTCGGGGAACATTTTGAACGCAATTATAATCTTTACAAAATTGCAAAACTCGCGAGTGTTGCGCAACGATCGTCGAATATCGATCGAACGTTGTGTTTATCCCTGGCACTATCAGAATCAAATTTATCGGGATCAGGGTAGAAAAATCTCCCTCGTGTAGCTTACTTACATCCGCTGTTAATGAATTAACGCGTCAGGACTCGCTCGTTAGACACATTCCGGGTATGGACGAAGAAAGCTGCTTTGAAGCTCGTGCGTAAAATTAGCGAGAGTTTTTCGAACGGAGACTTCCCGCCTGTAAGTCAAGATGCGTGATATGATGGAGCGGATAAACTGGGGAAGCCGAGCCGGATAAACAGGGACAACCGAGATACGAGACTAACGTAGACAGTGGCGTCCGCTTCACCTTGTGATAAAGGAGTTAAACCGGCTTAATTACCACGTTACTCGGTTTAAACTAATTACGCGTTTGCGCACGACCACAAATTCTCGAAGGAGAACGTACCGACGCTATTGTGGTCGAATTCGCCTTGTCTTGCGGAGAGGATGGATGCCTGCCCCGCGGAATCTTCGTTGGCAGGAGGAGGGGAAGGGGGGACTTTCGCATTATGAGCCACATTACGTGTCGATATTAATCGCTCCATAATTCAATGGCAATTTTCAACGTGATGTCGTGGCCGCAACAATTGTCGACCGGCCGAGTTTTGCGGAAACGGAAATTCGGCTCGTATCGAATTAATTGTGAGGTTTATGCATGCTCGGAGTATCCATCGATGCGTGAAATAATTGCCGATCTGTGTGCTTAAATTTCATATTTTATAAACATATTGAGAGTGAGAGAATGAGAGAGAGAGAAATAGAGAGAAATAGACGTGACATGTATTCAGTAGAAAAAGAGCGAATAAATCTAAAAGATTAATGACGAAAGAAGAATGTATACGGAAAGAAAAAGAAAAGTTCAACGATCTGGTAGATTAAGTTTTTCCTAAATAAAATATGTTTTACCGCGTGTGTAATAATAATACCGAAAAATATGTGAACGTAATTCTCACGATTCAGTTCACAATTCACAGATGTAAATAAATTTCAGCGAGAGCGCTGCACGTATAGGTACCGTAGATTACGAAAAATTGTTAAACTCTTGAGAGAGATATTCAGAATCGAACGCGCGACAACCAAAATGGAAGCATATTGAAATTTAGTTTCCTCGACTCAGTAAACATGTAATCACGCTTAGTACTTGCACTGATAGACCGCTATTTATCGATCGTTAACTGGCATAGGTCGTTCCCCCCTCCGAGAAAAAGTTTTCAGTTAGATTTCGATTGCGTTCGATTTAGGGAGAGATGTCGATGGTCCTCTTCTTGCGGTGGGATATTCAGCGAGGGAACAAATCGCGTAACTGGAAAGGCGTGGCGGTGGTAATGCACATGCCAATCCACCTTTAATCCACCCTCTCTGTATTGGGAGACTTGGCCGCCCGGGCGAAGCCGCCTGTGAGAAGCTCGAAACTTTCGTCAGGTGGCACTTGAACTTTATCGTGTCTACTTTGGATGTTCAGGATAAACCATTACCTTCCTCTCTCGACGATACTTTCGTCAGAATCTAAATTCAACGATCGAAACAAGATCGCGCGGCGCTGCAGCGGACAGGATACAAAAAAGTTATTTCGAAAATGGAAAACGAACATTTCTGAGATGAAAATGTAGGGAGCATATAAAGCTTGACAAATTGGATGCTGGAGAATAGCGTTCCCTACTTTTGCGTGACGAGTTGCAGCTATTACAACGTGTAATTAAAAATTCATTGAAAATTAATATCGCAAGGCAGTGTTTAATTAATCGCCTGGGAAAGTTCCTCCCATATAATTCATCGTCGACGAAATGAAAACGTAGAGCACTTTACTCCGAGAAGTGCAGCAAGATATAATTAACCGACGCTGATTATACTGGTATTAATTAAATTGGATTCTCGTTTGGGCTTCGAATCAATTAAATGTACGGATTATTAAAAATAAAGGTTATTTTACCAATGTTAAATTATTTTGAAGCACGAGATTGACTTGTTTTACGAATATAATTTATAATTGCGACACTGTAATGCTCAACTCAGTTCTCGCAATTACTTTTTTTTAAGTTGTATAGTCTCTAGTGAGAAAAGATACGTGATAATGTTTACCTAAAATAACTTTGTTTAAAAGAAGACGTATTATTTCTACATTCGATTAAAGTCCAAAATAACACAAATAATACAGTAAATTATAAAATAAAGCCCACTTTAAATAATTTATAATCTCTATCAGAATTTAAAATAAAGTACCATTTATAATTTTATGCGCATAATACAAAAAACATTTTAAAATTTATACGCGCACGCGTACCAAAATATAAAATTAGAATTTTATCCTGAAATATGAGGCAAAATGTTTAACGTACTAAAATAACGCAAAATAAAAAAAAATCAATCTTAAACTGTTATAAACTTCCAAATTTATTGTAAAAATAAACTTGAAATAATTTATCTTTTATCTTTAAACAATATTTTTTCTGATCTCTATTATACCGACATATTTTCCGTTATTTATACCTATGACACACTTGGAACTCAGAAAAATTTAAATATAGGTTTTTGTTTAATTCGAGATAAATCTTCTTTTATATCTCCTAAAGAGCAAAAATTATCGACTTAAAATGGATGAAACATAAATATTAACTGACGAAAAATTATGTAAGAAAACGATCATTTTTATCTTTAGAAAGAGTGGTATTATCTTTCATCGCGGTAATTATAACAAGAAATATAATTTTATTCTCTAACCATTAGATATTTCTAACAAATAGACACTTAGAAATTTCTCAGTAGAATTAAAAATGAAACGAAAGCTCTCACGTTATTTCTCATAGTGTAGCGTGGTAGCTGATGCTATCGGCAAGTTAAGAACTTGAATCCCGGAGGTACAAATAAAACTTCCCTATCTGTCTCCGATCTCAAATGCGGTCGTCACTGATACGCGTAACACAGGTCGCACGCCGTCCAACGTTATCACACCATTGTCGCCATTCGCGATTTTTCCCTTGCCCCTCGTGCATTCCGACTGTCACGGCGATATTGCCGAGAAAACGGGGGGGAATCGAGGCACACGATGATGCGTAAGCAATGCCGAGAAAGGAAACAATCGCGGATCTTTCTTCGGTCTCGGTTCTGCTCGCGTATTTTCGCCGCGTACCGTTGCGTTCCCCGTCGCCGCGCTTATATACGCCCTCGAACTTTTGATTTACGCGGCCTCGATGGAATTCCATGAATGCGAAATGTAATCCCCTACACGGCCCCTCTCACGTCCCGCGTCCCTTTTCCCGGCCAGTTACCTCGGGCCATATCACCACCCCTCATCCAATGTGAAACTTTGCGTTTCAATCGTGCCCTCGAAGTAACAAACGACGGCAGCTGCCTACGGGAAATATATATTTTCAGCGAAAGGGTGGACGATTTATTTAGAGAGGAAGCGACTGGACATGAGCGGGCAGCACGGGGGAATCGGAATCTACGGGAATGCCCCCGTTCTCTCTCTCGCGGAAAATCCGTGGGAGTTACTATAAAATGAAAAACTGTTTATTACTCTCCAGACGATCCAACAATCTGCGAGCGCCAATAAGAATTTCAAGGAACATTCTTTGTAAGATGCGCAATATCGTTCAGCATAAAATGCTGAGACTAGCCTTAAACTATATCACTGACGAAATGCTATTGAAATAAATTGCAGTTTCTAACTTTCTGCAGTATCAAGTTGGATTTGATGTAATGCCTCGTAGTAATCTGACGTAATTCTTCAATCATTCAATTGATGCATGATTATACAAACTAACAAGGGTACGTTTGGAACTGTCCCTCACCGATTTTGATGAGCTTTGAATATGTTGTAGCTAAAAAATAACAGACACGTATTTTTTTTATTGGTTTTGCAGCATGTTTAGAGATT